TCCCCAGCAACAGCAGTAATTAGCTATCATGACAACGCATCCTCTGCATTTCCAGTGGGGTCTTGCAGCACACTTGAATCGTATATGAAAAACGAAGAGCGCCACGGTATTAATGATGAACAGGATGAGGAACATGATGATGCAAATGATGATGATGAGCAACATGATGATGATGCTGACGAGTATATGATGAAAGAAAGTGATGATGATGATGATGATGAACATGATGATGATGAAGGTGCTGATGATGATGATGACCATGATGATAAAAATGAACTTTGATCATCATCTCAGATAGCAGCACACGTGTCCAGCGCCTGTTCTTTGAAGGAAGCCAGGTTGCTGCTGTAAGGGCAGGCTAGTAGAGCGCGCAAGGGCAAGTTATGTCCCTGGTTTGTAAATGCATGCCCTCCAGGACAGGCACAAAAGTAGCGTCAGCGTGGCTGGCGCATGGCGTTAAAAGAGCTGAGTTTAAGATCACGCGTCGACTTCAGCCCTACAATGAGTCGGCACGTTTCTGAACGTTCGGGCGAACAGGAGGATACAGTCATCATCCCCAATCTAGCCATCAGAGGGGGCAGTAGCAGCTTACAGATGTTACCACTCGCCGTGTGGACAACCGTTTCCATGTCATGTTGTTTCCTCTGAGTGATTTGGATGCGTCGGACAAAGTGGAAAGGTTTGGGATTGCATTGGCCTACACTTTGATCGGCTCGGATGCTCGGTTGCGATTCATGATAGGGTGCGTTGCATTGAAATGGTGCATGCTTGTGCCCGTGCGCTTTTTCCTTGCTTGATAAATCCCAAGATGGAAATTGGTGACCCCATCAGCCTGCGCTTCACTGAGACCGTGCGCACGAGGTGGTAGTGCACTGGATCGGAAATGACCTTGCCTTCCTGGCCTGGCAGGGTGAGCGGTACGGAGGTTCGCTGCCCTGTCAATCGCCCTGGTTGTTTGTTGCTTGCTTGCCTGCTTGTTTTCTTGCTTGCAGGTTTGATTGTTTGTTTTTACTTGCGTGCGATCTTGTTAGAGTTACTTTGCGTTGCGTTGTGTTCGTGCTTGCTTGATTGTTTGTTTGTTTGTGTGTTTGCTCGGTTGTTCGTTCGTGCGTCTGGTTGCCCGCTTGTGTCCAACCAGCCATGCAACTGTGGTGCGCGTGGCATGCAACAAGCACATGAAGGCCTGCAATTCACGAAGCCACAGATTAATTCAAGCGTGAGTTGCTGTTCGACCAGATCAATATTTCCCATGGCAATCTCTGATGATGGCCTTGATGACCATAAAGTCATTCCCCCTTCCAACTCACCAATTCTTGGCTGGCAGTGCCAATTCACGCTTGGAACGAAGTGCACGTGCAATAATGCCAGGCAGCTCTTTGTCGCTTTGGCGCATCATAGCATCAAGTCCAGCTCATAAGTCCAGAATATTGAACCGGTGACGCATGCATTGTGCTGCATTTTGTACATGAGCTCATGCTTGGTGGCAGTCTCAGCGACATGATACGGATTTCCCCGCCCCACCCCCCCCCCCACCCCCCAACCATGAGATCCAATTCTTCCTGCATCCATACCTTCATTTACCATTTCCTCTTTGCCACATTTATGTGTCTCTTTGCTGCCAATCTTGGCTGCTTTGTTGACTGCAAACTGTATTGCGTTACGCTCTCGATATGACTCCGCTCATGGCCAGGCCCGGAGACTAGACTTATGGCAGGTAAACAAGCAGCTCGGGCATCAACTCCTGCAGGAGCCTGCAGGGCCTCATGGAAACTCACTGAAGAACCAGGTCACTGATGGAAAAATAACTCAGCGGACATTTCAAAGGTAATGGAATCTCAACGATGCCCCATTGGACATCCCAAGTTTAGTTTCATGTCATTGGGGGAACGCACATTTATGGAACCTCACTCAATCTCATTGGAAATCTCAAAGTTCATGGAATCTGCAACCTGTACATGTTCCCTCATTTTCGGCACCAACCCCTGCTCCGACCCCAGCTCATTTCTCGGCGTTATATGTTGGTTTGCACTTGTTCCACGGCCCAGGCCCATGACCTCTCGTTTTAACGAGCCAAGGGCCCCGCACCGACATAGTTGGGCCTATCTTTACCGAGTGTCAGCCACAATTTAAACTCTCTCATTTTCCTGTCCCGTTTCCCCCCCCCTGAACCCCCCCCCCCCGCCTGAAAACTCCACAGAAACAGCAGTATTATGCGCAATTATTATACACAGTTTGGACAGGGCGCGGGTCCCTGCGAGATCCCGCCTTGCATGGTGTGCAAAAGATGCAACCAAAATGGGGCTTTGAGAGGGTAGTCCAAATCACGGAAAATAGTTATCAGCTATTTCTGGAACCCAACTATGGTCAGAACAATTACCGCCCATGGGTCGAGAAACGTAGGATCAATAGAATATGTGTGGTGGACCTACGTGGTCTCTTTTTTAGTTACTATGGTTCAACTATAAAGGACTGGGTGATTGTTCTCTTTGCTCTATAACAAAGCAATAACATACCTCTAGCATGCCTAGCTGCGCTAGAAGTCCAAGAGTCCAGCAAGTCCAAAGTCAGTTGCGGTTGTGCGCTGGAGGATCAGACGCGGGCACACGTGTGTGTGTGTGTGTGTGTGTGTGGGTGGGTGTGGGTGTGCGGGCGTGTGCGCGCGTGAGAAGGGGAGAGAGAGAGAGAGAGAGTTTGAGTGTGTGTGTGTGCTGCGCGTGTTTGTGAATGTTTCTTGTGATGTGTGTGTGTGTGCGTACCCCCTGTTCCGAAGGGGCCTCTTTGGTGTCTTTCTTCCTTTTCGGAGTCAGACGCCACCATAGCAAACCACTTGACGTTCCCTGATGAGGAGGGCTAGCGAAGGGAAAGACGATCAAGCGCGGGCTTTGCCGAAACTCCCCTTTTTGAGTTCCTTTTTGAGTTGCTTTGGGATGCGCCTCACCGTTTTTCTGTCTCCCATCAAGTGTGTACCGGCGCTGCTTCCGAGCTACGGTCAGCGTCGTGAATTTACGGGGCACTTGACTTGTCTCATGCACTGACCTTCTCTTCAGACCTTTACCGACTGACCTTTGCCACTGACCCTGATGACCTTTACCACCCACCTGCTCCATCGATGTGGACCATCACCTGACTTCTAAGCATCCCAGGACGGGGTTTCACTACATGCCTTGGTGTTTCACCCGAACCCTATCGAGAGTGTCCCTCTGACCTTCCCCTTTTCAGACCCGCTTTTCGTTGCATATCTGGCTCATTTGCGACGGCCCCTGATGAAGCCTGACGCAGGTCCAATGTTCATCTCCAAGTCGGCAGGACGCATGGCGCCCACATCGGCCTGGTCGTTCACCGGTGGCAAGCACCAGGTCTCCATCTCGGGCTCTTCTTCAGCAATCCACGTCTCCATCAGCGGTCGCCCGAAAGGCTAACTCATCGGGCGTGCAGTCAGCGCCGGCTGCAACGCCTACGGCATCCCCAGCCTCTGGTCCATCGGCAGAACCGCTACCCACGATTTTTGTCAAGGCCAAGCCAGCGCTCCCGCTGCCATCTTCAGCGATGCGAAACCCTTTGGTGAGGCCTGCGCCCACGAGCCTGCGGGACCACAGGTGGCAACCGCCGAATCGGCCAAGGCAGCCGCGCCTGCGCCTACGCCAGCGACTACGATCTCCTCAGCGTCTACGCCAGCGCCTACTCCTGGAGGGCGTGGTGGCCACAAAGAGCACCCCCGACGGCGTGGACCTGAAGCTGTCGAACTACAGCACCACGGCGGCCCCATGAACGGCTCCATCGCCTCGGCCAACAACGCCACGCTGGCCACGGTGGCCGCCAACTACGGCCTCAAGACGGTGGTGGTCCAGCACTCCCTCGACATCGCAGCAAGGATCACGCCGCTGGAGGTCGACACCAAGGTGGCCAACGCTCTCCTGGGCGTCGTGTCCGCCGCAGCGCTGGCCTCCGAGCTCGCAAGTCGAGACGCCTCCATCTCGGGGCTGCAGGCCTCCAAGGCGGACCTGACCGCGTACGCCCTGCTGTCGGCCGTCGACACTTCCTCGGAGGTGGACTCTAAGATAGCGGCAGCCCTCCTGGACGCAGTCACCACGGCAGTTCTCGACGCCGCCCTCGCCGGCAAGGCGGACGCAAGCGCGCTGGCCGCCCTGCTCTCCACGGTGGACGGGTTGGACACGCCGCTGGAGGTGGACACCAAGATAGCAAATGCCCTGCTGGGTCTCGCCACCGAGGCCTTCGTCGCAGCGCAGCTTGCTAGCCGGGATGCCAGCATCTCGGCGCTCCAGGGGGCCAAGGCCGACACGACGCTGCTGGCCTCGTACGCCACGAACGCCGCGCTCTCAGCCAGCGAGACCACGCTCCAGAGCGCCCTCGACCGCCACTGCCCCTGTCGGCGTCTACTTGATTGAATTCCAACAGCACCTCTGGCACGAACTATGAGACCGACCACTCCTACGACAGCGCCTGCAGCTGCAGCTGCCCACACGACGGCTCGACCCTCAACGCAGTAGGGATATCCTTGACATGCATTTTTAAAGCGCTCCGCAACAGGGACTCCCTTCATGGCAGTAAACCACCTGACAAACGCACAGACGTCATGCAGTTCATGGAGCCGCTGGCCACCCGGATTGTGGATCGAAAGGTGCAAGAGCAAGGGTGTAGAGCTCAGTTCGGAGAAGCAGCCGCACTCTTCATTTCCTACCACTTCGTGCCCGACACCAGGCAACACAGCGAGCTGGGTTGACTCGGCGCCGTCGCGTAGACCAGTCGCCGGGAAGTCGACCAAGCGCAAGACTCCGAACACCAACATAGAGCTCTTAAAGGTGAACAGGTGCCTCTGCCAACCAGTCTTGGTGACAAGTCCTTCAAGGCCTGGCTTCAGTAGCGCACTCTCTCAAGGCCATTGCAGCGAAATGAAAAAATCGTTTTTTGGTGACCAACTCCCGGCGAACACTACTGCACTTCATCACGGTGCTACACATGTACGGCAAGTGAGATAAGGC